CTCACAAGATCAGGATGGTCTCACGAGGCTAATAGTATTGTGGGAGTACTTGACCCCCTACCGACTTTTTCAGCTTATGCCTCTTACTACAGGACCTGGATAAATCCAACAACACGTTTACAAATATGATCTCCTTTATTAAGGGACAAATGTTTTCCATATCAATCAGGCACTACGTATATTAAATTAATGCCAACTAAGTCCATGCTTGGTTGCCACAACCGCCATCAAGCAATGTAACATCTAGTAATAAATCTGTCACATCACTTTGTTGCTGATTTTATTTCATAATTCTTTGCAGAATTATTTAATCATGCCACACTGCAGTGAGTTAGCATTAACAGCTTGTTTAGTGTCTGTTTTGGCATTTCCATTAGCTCTACATTTAGATGTTTGTTATTTCATTCCAAAGCTTTAACTTTTATTTTGTTAAAACTATGTTATGTTAGGATTATGCTGCTTCTGGTCCTAATTAACTTTATTTTATCAGGATGAGCACTGATAATTTAAAATTCTCCCTTAAGAGTATCTGTTGGAGTGCAACTTCATGGCTTTATTAGGCCTCATCAAATAGAGTTTCAAAAGTAAACTCAGACAATAAATTAGTGTAGGTATTTTTATTCCGAAACGCTGGTTATTTTTAGGTAGATGTAATGGGCCTTAGACAAAAGTCTAAATTTAATATCATCAGTGCTTAGAATATTATCCCGAAAACTAGTCCATTAATGCCATGTTTGCACTGCCTCTTTCTTATTTAATCAATAACTACATCAAGAAAGAGAAATTTTATTTGTAGTGGTTTTGATGTTGTTCTGCTTTATATTGTGAGCTCCTGGATTAGTTATGTCAAACTTAGCTTAGTTTTTGGGTCTGGGTAATGGCTTTAATTGTGGTTCACTGAGGTTTTAAAATCTTAGAGATAGCTCGTTAGGCTGGTGGATGTCAGAGACCTTTTTTCCAAGTCTGGAAAAGCAAGGAAATCTGTAGGGTAGCAAATACAGGCAATATGTCTATATATCTCAAAGATTATTGGCTTCAAAGACTATAGATGCTTCTTACAAAATTGACAAGGCACCCAATTTTTATTAAAAATGAATACTTTTTGTAATAAAGCACCTCTTTTAATTTGTTTAACAGAATTACTTTTCTCTTTTACACATTCTTGACTCCCTTAAATTAATATCTTCTGTTTGACAGCCGTACTGCTCATTGCATCTGCACCTTCATGTCTCAGAGAACCCTTACGCCTCAGGAAACATTGTCAGCAAAGACACAGCTCCAGGAGTTATAATAGCATCAGGTGAGATTTGATTTGCACACGAATCTGCACATGCATAGTTTTGTTTACTCTCTGTTTTAGTGTTGGTCTCTGATGATTTACTCCAGCAATTCCAGTCAGATTGTTTTTGGCTCTGCTCTTGTGTACTTCCCTTCCAAGATGACAACATTTTACTAAAAGAGGTGCTATGTGCTTTTCCGGGACATTTGTTCTGTGTTACCTCAACAGAAATAATGAAACACTATGACTACAACCATAATGCCTGTTAAGGAAATACATTTGAAATGGACTATTTAACAATGCCGATTTTGTGTTGAATTTATTTATTCAGGTGTCCTAGGCCCAGAGTTAAGCAATGCAAATGTCAGTATCTTCATCACCTCTGATGCTGGGAATACCTGGAGAGAGGTAAAGTTCTTCTGTTGGGCATTGGGTGGGATTTTTTTTTCTTTATAGTTCAACAATCACTCAATTATACAAAGGCATGGCTTACAGGGACTTGCAAAAGTATTCATGCATCTCAGCCTTTCCATAGTTAGTTATATTACAACCACAGACTGCAGAGAATCATGTAAGGATTTCATGTGATAGAGTAATGTAAAAAAAAAAAAAAAACACTCCTTGCAATTTAATTCAGCCTCCTATATTAAAGTCACCTTATTAGGAAAACAAATCAATGTGTCTTTTTTGAATCTTAGATTAAATATATTTTCAGTGCTAAGACTAGTTAGATATTTGTTAGAGAAAAATCCGTTTCACAAATACCAAGAAAAACTACCGACAGGTCAAAGATTAGTAGGTACTTTAGTGACCTTTAGGGCTTTAAACAAAATTGCAAATTAAAATATGTCAAACAGAGCATTGTTTCATCTATTATTTGTCTATTGGACAATTGTTTGAAGATTTCTTCATAAATACAGTCTTAATTTAAGAGTGGCAAGAATAGGGGGCATTGTTTAAAAAGTCAGAGGTCCTCCTTATAGTGTGCCTTTAGCTGTTCAGGAGTCAGAACAGGCATGCAAAAGCAGAACAGTGCTTTGGTCAAATGAGACCTTTTCTCTTTCAGATTATGGTTTAACAACATGCAACCATGAATCCCTGTTACGCCTTATTCCTTGCACATCATGAAAATAACCCTGCTGAGCTGAGACACTTTCACAACATGGTTTTGAGATTGTTTGTTTGAAGGGGCGTGGCTTATTAGAATCATTTCCCCTAAAAGAAAGTGTAGACGTGTAGGGGATTTGATGCCCAGGAGGCTCAGCACTATTTCTGTCTGAAATTCATTCTTTAATTTATATACAAGAACTGTTGTTCACCTTCCTTAACATGCGGTAATCTGTAACTGGTTCTATTAAGGAATTTTTATCTCATATCAGAGATTATGTGGTTCTTTTGGACTGACTCTTGTTGCTTCAGCACCTTTTTTTGCTTGGTTTCACATCATTATGTGTTACTCATTCTGCAAAAAATTGTATTGCCTCTTGAGGTTTATACAGGTTACAGCTTGTGACCGTCTCCTGGGGTGGATAAGGCTTATATTATCTGTGGGCTGACTTAAGCTTCTGTATTGTGTCAGGTACTTTCAGCTATTTTAGTACACATCTAAAATGCAGAAACTGGGTAAAAACCTATTGATCTTTTTAATCATGCCGTATCTGTTGGTATGTTATCCTGTGGGGACAATATTCCAGAAATATATTTCAGTTTGAGGATCTACTGGAGAAAAAAAAGCCTGCCCCCATGAGGAGTTCTGTTTTTGGGGTGGGGGCTAGGGTAAGGTTTTGTGTGTGGTTGTGGTGGGTTATAAAATACAAAAAAGAACAGGGCTAGGAAAACAGTTCAGTCCAAAGAAAAATGGACATAGTTAAGTAAAAGGGGAAACCATGAAAAAAAAACATAAGAGGGGTGTAAGAATGTCAAAGGAAAAGTCCAGTCAGCAAGGAATAACCAATGGGTCATTATTTATACCTAAAACTAATACTTTCACAGTGATTTAATGAGTTTAGCATTAATCAGTAAAAAAATAAAAACAATATTTTTCGTCACCATCACTGAGTCCGGACATATATTTTTGCCCAAATATAGTAACACCTTACTCCTGATATCTGCCGGGAGTGACATCATGGTGCGGTACGCCTAGTGCCATTCTCCGCGCTTTACAAGCAAAATGAATGGGAACTGCCAGACACATTCTGCAATCAACAACAATTATTTAAGATTCCGAGAGGACTTTACCGTTGAAATTCACAAGAGCTATAGTTAAACTGACAATGCCCATGTGCATTGCAGTTGAATGTTGTAATACATCAGGTAAAAGTTAAAAAAAAATTAGTTATTTTACCTTTCCAATTCATGATCCACCACAGGTTCGTCTTTAGATTGCCAACTTGAAGAGGGAGGATTTACCATCGAACTTGTGGCCAGAGAAAAAACAGGTCATTAATCCATGCACCATGCTTAGCATACTGCACTGGTCATCGACATCATGGATAATTACGGGTTGTGACAAACACCAGATACAGAACTGGGACTTGCTGTATTGTGTGTATTCTGAATGTTACTGGACTTTTCCTTTAAGAGTGCATTGATACTTTCTATCCCACAACAACACAGACGACTCAGTGAGAACTATGTTGGACTACTCAAAACAGAGGCATAAAATGTGTTGGTCAAGTAAAAGTGGTTACTTAAATCTGATCTGGAATTTTTGACTATCGCTCTTTTCAGAGTCTCTTCATTAAATAAGGATAAGTTCTTTTTTCCAATTTCAGAGAATTAAATACATATGTAAGACTTGGTTATTAAAAAAATACATACCGGTATGTAAGACTTGACTATTGAAAAAACAGCACAACCCACTTAGAGTGGTAATTATATAAACATTTTAAAAACATATATAGGCATTTTGTATTTAAGATTCAAAAAATGTTTTAGTCTGTCAATATGCTCTATCCAGAACTCCTTGAGTGGTAAAGTTTTAGTTTCACGTGGTTTAATTCCGTAAAAAATCTTCTTTAAGGAACTTTTCGCTATCAGTTCATCGTAAAAAAAATAATCAACAGTTTATCGATTTGCAAAATACTTGTTAGTTGCAGCCCTACTTTTCACATGTCTAATTTCAGGCACTGAATCATTAATATTATAGTGTTTTCCTCTCATATTTTTACCATTTCACAACCACTGAGGTCTGATGTTAGAAGTAGTTTGGGTTCAACATTGTGCTTGAACAGGTTTTCATTACAAGTAACTTGCATCTTTTTGAACTAAATAAAGAATAAGCAACTACAGCCATGATTGGGCATATATAAGCCAGCCTTTCTATTATTTTAGTTTGCAGTGGTGCAGCCACATCTGTAAAGAAACAGAGATGCGAGGTCTGACAGCCAGCCTTGTGCATTGCTGATCTTTGATAACAAATAAAACAAAGGTTGCATACATATTTTTGCTACCGGCATAAGACCCTACATATCAGAAAATATACCAGTATTTGTTTGACGTTTTTCACACAATTGAGACTCCTGTAAAAATAACAGCTTTAGGTTCTACTTGCTGTGTAGGTGAGAGCATGCATTTTTCTTGTGTTGGCACTGGTGTATACTTTTCCAGAGACTTGAAAAATGTTCACTGTTGTGCTAAAATAAAGTTGGTTGTGTGTGCATGTGCAGGTTTTTCAGGAAGCGTACAGCGTGTTTTTCCTGAATCAAGGAGGATCTCTAGTGGCCATCCGACACACACCTCTGCCAATTAGACACATTTGGTATGACTCTCCAAGGATGTTCAATGTCTTTTTAGAGAACATACTCGATCTTCAAAACAAGGAGGGAGATTGCTTTTCCTGCAAAGACTTTTCTGACTGAATTAAACTCTATTTGTGGTGGGTCTCTCTCCCCCTCAGGCTGAGTTTTGATGAGGGCAGAAACTGGGACAAATATAGCTTCACCTCCTCGCCGCTCTATGTTGATGGGGTGCTAGGGGAGCCTGGAGAGGACATCCTCATAATGACGTAAGACTTTGAGAAATTATCAGAAGAATGTGTGTTTGCAATATGTTAATTAATGCAGAGGCTAATTATCCATTACCCCAATGAAGTGTTGTAACCTATGCCCCATATACAGAATTTTTTTTAACATTGTTTTTATGACACGTTTTTCCAGGATATTTGGTCATTTTAGCCACCGATCTGAATGGCAACTTCTCAAGATTGACTTCCGACCTATATTTGAAAGACGATGTACATCTGTAGACTACATCACATGGCAGTTAGACAATGAGGTAGGAAAGTCTGTCTAATTGGTTTACAGCTTAACTTTGCCCTTGTATATATAAAAAAAAAAAATTAAAAGTTTTGATGAAGATGTGTACAAATGATTAAAACTGGGCTTATTGAGTGTATTTCTTTCAGGAAAGGGAGGGGGTTGGCCATGTACTTTAGTGTTTGTTTGGACATTGAACAGAAATAGTCATTATTTGGAATGCAAACTGACAGAAAATGTTCAAAAATCACAGAAATTAGTTACACAGCTATTTCTTTGGCAGCTTGGTTGCTCATGAGATTGCCTCAAAGAAACGAAACAGGATGAGACTATCTAAATAAATCATCTCATGTGATTTTCTCAGGATTTTTGTTTTTTGATAATAATGCAGAACATTTTTTTTTTACTGACACAGCATCATACCACAACATTGTATGTTGTATGTTGATTTTATGTTCAGCCGTAAATGTGCTGAACATGGTCAAATTTAGCTGTTGTATATGACGTTTTATTATGTTAAGCCCACGGTAAAGCTTGACAATTTAGCCAGCGTATGCATGACGTATAAAAAAATCTGGTACGATGGCATACGTTTGATAAGTCATGGGTCAATTCTCCAATGTGCATTATTTTACTCATATGGTTTCTGGTCAAATATTGCCTAATTTAATCTGGATTGAGTTTTAAAGCACTGCAGACCACCATATTTGTTGGCGCTCTGCCAACAAGAAGGTCTTTCATCCCAAACGTTGTTCTCTCTGAGACAATGTCAGTACTTGTGGTGACCAATCATACTAATTGTAACCATGAAAGTGAGTTCCCAAACAGTAAATCTCAAAAGAAGGTTATTAGAAAATAAAAATTTGTTTTAGATTAAAAATAAGCAAAATCATTTCTTAAATGAGCAAAATCAATTCCTCCCCAACCGAAAAGCAAGTAACCTGATTAATGGTGATTATTTAATTATTATTATAATTGTATACCAATTTATTATTTAGATAATTGTTAGTTCGAGGACCCTGACTTTAAAACATTTGCTTAGAGAACGACCCATTCAGAGTTGTAATTGCACCAAAACTCTACAAACAATGTAGGCCTTTTGCAGAAAAGATTTAAAAAATCTGTGTATATATATATATGCTCTGTATAGAACTTCTCAAGTGGAATACCTTTAGCCATAAGTAATTTAAATTTAGTTAAACAAATATCCATATTTACAGGTAAATAAAAAAAAAAAAAAAAAATCCGCAGATTGTCCATTTGCAAATAATCATTAGATACTGTTCTTTTATTTCAGAGGTATAGAGAGACATGTTGCCAAACAACCTTTAGTATTATACCCAGGGTACTAAAAGTTGGGATTAAGGAAATAGTGTGAAATCTGTGGTCCACAAAAAAGTTCAGATGTACGAAACCACTCGACACATCACAGCATTGAGGGCAGCTGCACCTGCCTAAGGACCACCCTCTCCCTGTCACCAAACACATGCCTGCATTTGTATAAAAGCCCAGAGGGCACCCACCCACTATCGCTGTGCAGCTGCTTCATTTAGCTCCAATTAATTTAGATTCAATTCCGTTTATTTATATAGCGCTAATTCACAACATATGTTGTCTGAAGGCATTTCACAGAAAAAAATCAACCAGATCATACAGTCAGATTGGTTCAAAGTTTTCTATCTAAGGAAAACCAGCTGATTGCATCAACTCATTTACTCGAAAACAATCCCTCACACAAGCATGCTTGTAGCGACAGTGGAGAGTAAAAACTCCCTTTTGACAGGAAGAAACTTCCAGCAGAACCAGGCTCAGTGTGAGTGGCCATCTGTCGAGGCCGACTGGGGTTTCATGGAGACAGGAGCAAACATACAAAAGGAAGCAGAGATACAAAAGGTTACTGTCAACCAGCCCTACAGATGGCTCCTTCCCGGAAACACACAGCCCGTCAGACAAGTTCCAAGCCAGCTCCAATGTCAGAGGATGAAAGAGGGGACATACTATTAGCCATTGTAAGAGAAACAGGACTACACTGAAAAACAGGCCAAGCACTACTATTTATAAACAAAGATTTGATGGCAGCAGCACAGCTGATATTTCTCTCCGGGATGGTCAGATAGCCACACAGGAACAGAACATATGGAGCTACTATAATAAGAAAAACCAGAGAGAGCATAAAGTTGGAGATTGGATTAACAAATACTGCAGACTGGAAAATAAAGATAGAATGAAGCAGAATTATGAAAAATGGTCCCTATGTCTTCCAGCAGTCTAAGCCTATAGCAGCATATGTATAGGGGTAGCTCAGGATAACCTGAGCCACTCTAACTATAAGCTTTATCAAAAAGGAACATTTGAAGCCTAGCCTTAAAAGTACTACTTTTAGAAATTCTAACAACCACTAGTAAATCTGCAGATTGAGAGTGAAGTGCTCTGTTATGAATATAAGTAATGATCTGATCCCTGATATAAGTCAGAGCTTGGTTATTTAAAACTTTATATGTGAGAAGGAGGATTTTAAATTCTATTCTGGATTTAACAAGAAGCCAATGAATAGAAGGTAAGATAGGAGACATATGTTCTCTGGTTTTAATATTCATCACCTCATTGTTATGTAATGTAATGTACAGCAACTTACCATTATGACATTTTTATACATCCCACATTCCTATTAAAACTGTCTCCACAGACACTTTATAAAATTGATAAATAAAATACTGCATGCCACTTTATTTGTTCTGTAGGAAACCTTTGTGCATCATAAACAGCTCATATATTACATTAAAATTGATTCAAAAATTATTATTTGTTCATAATGCATAATGCAGATAATGCAATATAGAATTATTGCTACTTGCAAGAAATCAGAGCCACAGTTTAGGAGAATCTTAGATTTCTGAAAAAAATTGGATGAGGCAATTCTATATGAGTGACATGGCATGGCTGAGGAATGACAGTGAAATACCCGACTCATGGGTTAGCTCTGTAGCAATGTAGTGAGAACTGGAACTGGTTCCAGTACCAGCAACACATGGTCTTTCTTAGTTTCCCTCTGCAACGCTGTGGCCGGTACAATGATTATTGCCTTGGACTAGTTAATACCTAGAGTTTGCTTCTAAATGAGGTTATTTTATACCAATTTTAGCTCAGTGTTACACCATGCATTGTGTAAATACATCAAAAGAGACATGCATTCTTGAAAAATGTTTAAAGAGTTTCCCTAATTTCTACAAGTTTCAACTTATATAGAATAGAAGCAGTGGGATAACAGATTTAATGTATTTCTGCATCAGAACTAATCAGATTAGAAAACCCAAGACTATAATGTGTAATAAAAATATTGACAAATGATTGCATTTGAGAAGCAAAATTTCTAGTATATATTTTTAACACTATACAATGTTGTGCTTTGTTGTTGTAGGTGGATCTCAGGTTTAAACTCCAAAATAAAAATAATTATTGAATAATTTATCTCTACAAAAAGCATTCATGTTTTAACACAGAATGATTTCACCATCATAACATTTCCTTTTCCCTCCTTTGTTATTAAAAATGCTGGGCTGTAAGGGGTTGTAATTTCTTATCTCACCCAACAAACTGTCACGGTTAAAACTACCCAGCATCTTTCTCAACAACATGAAATCCAAAGTCTTAGTGGAATATGCAACCCAGCATTTTTTTTTTTTTTTTTTTGAGTGTATCTTTGCTAAGATAAAAATAGCTGTAAAAGAACTCTCTATTTCCCATGCCTGACACAACTGGCTGGACTATGAACTGTCTATGCCAGTCTACTACAACATGCAAGCTTCAGAAGAGCAGTCTGTGATTAATCTTAAAGAATCACTTTGATTTATCTACACAATGAAAATAACATTCTATAAAGCATGCGGGAAAATAAGACATTTCTATGATGCATTATTTATCACAGGGTGAAGTATGCATCATGGGCATGAAGA